AGAGAGAGAGAGAGAGAGAGAGAGAGAGAGAGAGGGAGGAGAGAGAGAGTTTAAGTCTAAATAGACAACCCACACATACCCCTTTTCCACTTGTAATTCAATAAGTGGCAGATGAGAGGCTTTATTCCATATAATTATTTCTTTTTCTATCACAAATCCTCTAGTTTTGATAAAGGTAAATGGCAGTTAAAAGTACATTCCAGAAGCTAGAAGAAGTGGGTTAACAATAAAACGCTTGCCTAGAATAATTTACCAGTGAGGGGACGGACCATAGCTCAGTTGTAGGAGTGCTTGCTTAGCACATATAAAGCCCTGGTCTCTAACCCTAGAACACACACACACACACACACACACACACACACACATGTCATGAAGAAAATTATGAAACAGTATGCTAATGACAAGAGAATCCTTTTATTAAACCTATACTGGATGCTAGGATTAGATCTAAGCTCTTTATAGTCATGAATTCATTGAGTTCTCACAGCAAACCAATGCATACACAAGATTGCATATGTAAAATAAGAAACGACTCCTAATAACAAATATAAGAAAAAATCTGGAAAAGTAACACTTTGCTAACTGTAATTACCTTTCTGGCACAACATTAGGGTTAGGGTTAATGAAAAGGAACAAAATAGCATACAAGGATGAAAGATGAATAAATTCAGCATTAAAAGAAACAAAACATAAAACATCCAAACATAAGTTTGGGGTCATATTAATGAAGACAGCTTTTAAAAATGCAAAAATTTAAAAGCAACCACCATAACATGAATAATAGTCATTTAAAAGATATTAAGTAAATCATTAAACTTTGTATTGCTGGAAAAGCAATTATTAGAATGTTTTTAGCATGATAAAAGCAGATGAAGGAAGAACATAAATACCAGGACTACTTGTTTTTAGAAAGCAAAGTCCAGCAAAATTAGTTCTACCAATTTGATAATAGTCATCTACAATCAATATAGCAGTTCATTTTGATGTTTGAGCTTTCGGTTTTCTAATGTTTTTTACAATAAAAAAATAAAAATAAGCTCATGAAACAGCAAAAAGACTGACACTGCCTCAAATACAACATAGGAATTCCACAAGGAACTTCAAATCATTAAAGGTTACACAATTAAAACAGTCATTAGTGCAAGCATCAAAAAGTTTAGAAAACATAAAATAGCCCTAAAAACATAAGAAAATATAAACAACAGTATGACAAATCCCCGAGCAATGGAGATTTATTAAGCAAGTAGCACTGGTGCGAGAAAAGGAGATATAGGACTGGAATTCATAATCTACAGTTAAATGCATTTGGATTGAAAATATAAACACTTAAACTGTGTCAAAGAAAGGTACTCTCAGTATGGAGTTTTATTACTCATTCCCATGAATCTCCTGATGGCGAATAAGGTCTGAGTCATTACTAAATGTCTCCCCACATTCCTTACAGCTATGGGACTTGTCATCACTGTGAATTCTCAGATGTCGGGTAAGGTTTGAGCATTTATTAAAGGCCTTTCCACATTTATTACACTCATATGGCTTTTCATCAGAGTGGACTCTCTGATGTTGAAAAAGCTGTGAGTTCTGAGTAAAAGCCTTCCCACATTCAAGACATTCAAAAGGTTTCTCACCGGCATGGATTCTTTGATGCTGTCGAAGTTGTGAACTCTGAGTGAAGGCTTTCCCACACTCCTTGCACTCATAAGGTTTCTCCCCAGTGTGGATTCTCTGATGGTTTGTAAGTGCTGAGCCACTACTAAAGGCTTTCCCACACTCCTTGCACTCATAGGGCTTCTCCCCGGTGTGGGTTCTCTGATGCTGAACAAGCTTGGAGCTCTGAGTAAAGGCTTTGCCACACTCCTTACATTCATAAGGTTTCTCACCTGTGTGAACTCGCACGTGTTGAAAAAGTTGTGAGCTCTTTGTGAAAGCTTTCCCACAAACTTTGCATGCATAAGGTTTTTCACCAGTGTGAATTCGCTGATGGTCAATAAGATTTGAACAATAGCTAAAGGCTTTTCCACACTCCTTACATTCATAAGGCTTCTTACCAGTGTGGATTCTCTGATGCTGAGAAAGGTATGAGCTACAACTGAAGGCCTTCCCACAGTCTTTACATTCGAAGGGCTTCTCACCAGTGTGAATTTTCAGATGTCGAGTAACATGTGAACCACAACTGAAGAACTTACCACACTGCTTACATTCATAAGACTTTTCACCAAGATGAACTCGTTGATGTTGAATAAATTGTGAGTTCTGAGTAAAGACCTTTCTACATTTCTTACATTCATAGGGTTTCTCGTCATTATTAACAATTTGACGTAGGGTTAAGAAAGTCTGTTGAACAAATGTGGGCATGTATTCACGACTGAGTATTTCTTGGCTTAAATGACCATTCTGATATCCCAATTGACTTGTAAATTGGCTTCCACATTCCAGAACATCTCTAAAACTGGGGTACTCAAGGCCATGCTTTTTAAGTCCCATTAACTCCCTCTGGCATGATTCTATTTCATAAACTTCCTTCTTTAGAGATAATAACTTGCTTTCACACATTGACTCCAGAGCTGAAAGGAAAGAAAGCAGAAAATATTCTTTTCCCCTCTTTTTTGGAAAAACTTAAAACTTTCACAAAGAGAATGGAAACACTAAAGTGAATAGATTATCTAGTAGGTAAATATCATAGGCTTTTAAGATCTGTCTAATCAGTGGTTCTCAACCTTCCTAATGCTGCAATCCTTTATACAGTTCCTCATGTTGTGGTGACCCCCCCCAGAAGTATTTTCATGCTACTTGATAACTATAATTTTGCTACTGTTAGAAATCATAATGTAAATATTTGTTGGACGGAGTATTCCGGATTCCTGGATATTTTGTGGCATAATAAATAATCAATTTGGCCTTTCATTTGTTTTGGCTCTAAAAAATGAATTAGGGTCTCATTATCTAGTTCTGGCTAGCCTTGAACTCAGAGATTCTCTGACTGCTAGCATTAAAGGTCTGTCCCCTGAGATGAGGTCTTATTATGGAACTCTGGCTGGTTTTGAATTCTGGGATTATCTTGCCTCAGTATATTTAGATAAAAAAGGGGAAATACTGGAAAATAATCTTTTTTATATACTGTGAAGATGTGTCACTAATTGGTTTAATAAAAAGTTGAATGGCTAACAATTAGGTGGGATTTATGGAGAAGACAGGACACCAGGAAGAAGGGAGGAGATACCAGGGACACAGAGCAAGCAGCATGAGCACTGCAAAGTAAAGGTAACCGAGCCTGTCAGGGCACAGAAAGGGGTCCATTTCATCTTGCCTCAAGATCAGAGAGTTCAAAACTACCCTTAGACCTGTAAGACTAAGCTTGGCTACTACAGGATGTTTTGGCCTTGACAGTGGATGTCTTGGGCTCAGGTGTGTTTACTCTTGACCCTAAAGACTGGGTGGCAGGTGTGGCTACCAAACACCTGGAGGATTAAGGGAAGTTAAGTCTGTTTGCTCCTTATATATGATAATAGAAGTCTTCTGCCATTGTCCCCATTTTTGATAGGGTTACTTAAGAATGTAAAAGGATAAACTCGGGGGCGTTCAGTGTGGACTGAATTCACCCTCCTGACAATATTCCTGTGTCTCTGTCTTTTATCTTAACTTCTTTAGCTAGCCTTCCTTAGACCACACTCCCCCCTCACATACAAACCGTGCTCTGACTACAGCCCTGAAAAGAGAGCTTCCCACACGAGCCACTTAAAAGAAGTAGATTAACAGAAATGGGTTAATTTAAGTTTTAAGAGCTAGTTATAAACAAGCCTAAGCTACCTGCCAAACTTATAGCAGTGTCTTTGTACTGCTACCCAGGCAGGTCAAGACAGCAGGCCTTAAAGAGCCTCAAGGATTGGTTCTGGCCAGACGATCTAGTGGCTAAAAGTGTGTGATGCTCTTGCAGAAGACCCATGTGGCAGCTCACAGCTACCTGTGACTGTTGTTGCAGAGGATTTGTGTACTCCTCTGACCTCCGTGGGCACCAGTCCACATGTGGCACACAGACACCACACATACTCAATTTATTAGAAGGTTGGGATTTTAGCTATCTGACCTCTGAATGGAAGAAAGACGGAGATGCCAGTTATGGATTCCTACCTATGTAAGAACAAAAACAAGCTGGATGACCTGAGTCTGATCCCCAGGACCTACATGATGGAGAGAGAACCAACTCCAGCAAGTTGTCCTCTGACCTCCACACACTCACCCCATACAATAAATTAATATATGCCACTGAAAGAAATTATTTTAAAAGAACTTGGTTTTCTCACTAGACACCTCGGTTCTTGAAGGCAGAGGCTTCCAAAATGACATGTCACTGTTGCTGTCTCCTCCATCAGCTCGGGTTATCCCCGCAGGCATTTCTCTGCCCAGTGTCTCTCTCTCACTTACCTGAGCACAGGCCTCTCGTAAGCTCTTTGCCAATCATCCAGGGCTCTTTGCCTTGCTCCAATAAAGAGATCACCTGAGGCTTGGGAATGGGAAGCCCTGCTTACAAGAAAAGATACGGAACACGGTTATGCTGTGGGAAACAGAGCTAATCCCTCGACCATCAAGCAAGAGGCGCCATGACAGGATCAGCCACAGACGAAGGTGACGCTTCAGCCACAGAGCACCGGAGCTGCCTGTCTCCCAGGCTTCTTTTTCAGCCTGGCTGAAACCATTTATTTGCAAACAAGGAGCGGGTATTCAGGTGGCAAAGTTGAAAAGCAGCTGAGAGATTCACTGAGGCAGAAGTAGACACTCCAGAGAAGGCTGAGTTGTTGGTACAGGTGCTCTTACCCACAGACAGCAGGTTGCTGTAATTCTCCAGCATCACGTCCCTATACAAGTCCCTCTGAGCAGGGCCCAGGCACTCCCACTCTTCCTGAGAGAAGTCCAGAGACACGTCACTGAACACCATTGATTTCTGAAACAATAAACACACACCCTAGCTGTATAACACACAGACACACACAAGAAAACTTTGGTGCTTGTGTTATGGGGTTCAGCAAATGAGCCATTATACTGTCGTCACCAAGAACCATGATGCATGACTATCATCCCAGCACCAGGGCTGAGGCAAGCGCATGGATTGGGAGTTTGCGCTGTCAGCCTGGATTACATATTGATCTCAAGGCCAGCCTTAGTTCTATAATGAGATCAAGTCTCAAAACAACAGGACTAGGGAGACAGCTCACTGGTAGAGCTCTGGTTTCAATCAATCCCCAGCAACAACAACAAAAAAGTTTCTCATTCTTAATACAAATTATTTTTCTGGTGGCTAAATGTTTTGATTTCTGATTGTACAGTCACAACAGCTCATTTATACACTGACCAGCCTAATTAGTACCATCCATTATCACACTTATTCCTACTTCTTAGATAAATAAAAATGATTCAGATAGTCAGCATGACCCACATTTCCTGTTGGACTCCAACTTAAACATGTTTTATAAATACCGTGAGAGTCTCAGAGATCCCTACCAGCCTCATAAGCTAGGAAATCTTTCAACATTTGGAACTACCAACCCCATTTCCCATTCTCTCACTAGTTTACAGACACGGTTTTAGCTTTTCCGTGTGTCTTGCCAGCTAAGTGACTCACATTGCCACCTCATCAAATTACAGACAGGCAGGACAAATTCACTCTACAATTCTTTCACTTTCCTGAGTACATCATTTCCTGCCTGTCAGTGCCTGGAAATAGGTCAAGACAAGATGATCAGTTATTTGCTGAATGAAAATGTTAATGTTTGAAAATGAGAGGTAATGAGAGATGATGGTAGGATTAGCTAGCTAATATGAGAGTCAACTGGGACCAAGATCTTGGCAGGAATCCTATCAGCCACAAATGTCAGCACAAGGAAAGCAAATGCAGCCTCCTGAGTGGCTGGAGTTACAGGCATCCACACCATTGCACCCATCACACACGGGGGGGAAAAAGGAGGTTACACATGGGTTACTTCAGCCATGGTTTTAAGTACCGAAGGATATGGCCAGTCTTCTTACGGCTGTCTTCCTGGAGGCAGGGGTGTTGTGGGATATTCCTTTACACTATGTGAAGATGTGTCACTGAATGGCCCAAGGCTAGGTGGGAAGAGGTTAGGTGGGACTTCTGGGTACAGAGAGGAATGGGGAGAGGAAGAAAGATGGAGTCACTAGCTGGACATGCAGGAGAAGGGGTAAAAGCCACAAGAGTCATGGCAGCACATAGATGAATAGAAACGGGTTAATTATAAGAGCTAGTTAGAAACAAGTCTGTGCTGTCAACTGTACTTGGTGGTTTTTACCTTTAGGGGCCTGTCACCAGCTTCCCAATAATTACACACGGAAGCTTACTTGTATAAATGCCTGGCCTTTGATTAAGGGGAAAGAGGAAGAGAAGGAGGGAGGGAGGGAGGGAGGGAGGGAGGGAGAAAGAAAACTATCCTATCAAAGTTTTGCCTCTGGGCTTTTACCTTTTTCTATTTCTCAACATCTTTTCTTTTCTTGTTACTCAGTGGCTTTCTGTGTAGCTGGGTGTCTGGCCCCTGGAGTTCTTCTTTACTCCTCAATCTTTTTCTCCCCACCTTTTATTCTCTCTGCCTGCCAGCCCTGCCTATCCTTTCTCCTGCCTTGCTACTGGCTGTTTAGCTTTTTATTAGACCAATTGAGTGTTTTAGGCAGGCAAAGTCACACAGCCTCACAGAGGTAAACAAATGCAACATAAAGGTATACAACACATCTCTGCATCATTAAACAAATATTCCACAGTGTAAACACATGTAACACATCTTAAAATAATATTCTACAACAGCCAGCCAAGCTTTTATAATTAATAATAAGTCTCTGTGTGGTTGTTTGGGAGCTGGCTGGTAAGACAGAAAAATTCCCCTACATACAAGTATCTGTAATAAGGTGACTCTAGAATTTTTTGTTATTTTTTTTTTTTTTGACAAGGGGTCTCACTGTACAGTTCTCAATAAATAGACCAGGGGCTAGCCTCAAACTCACAGAAATTGGCCTGCCTATCATCTAGCAAATACGGAATTTTAAAAGAAAGGCAAGACTCCAACTGTGATATAGAACTAGGCACGGTAGCTTATACAGGGAACCCAGTACTTAGGAGGCTAAAGCAAGAGAATCTGAAGTCTGAAGTCAGCCTGGGCTTCACAGTGAGACCCTGTCTCAGAACTAAACATAGACCAACAACACACACACAGACACACAGACACAGACACACACACACACGACTTAAAAATGGGGGATGAGTGGTTAAGACTGATTCCTGCTCTGGCAAAGGACCCAGGTTTGTTTCCCAGTTCCTATATGGTGGCTCACAACCTTCTGTAACTCCAGTCACAGTGGATCCAAGACTCTCTTCTGGCCTCACAAGTACTGCACATCTGTGGTGCTTCACATACACACATACAGAAAAAACAATCATACACATAAAATTAGACCCATCTTTTTGTACGTATGGTGGCTCCCACTTGTAATTCCAGCACTCGGGGAAGAGGAGACAGGAGAATCAGAAGTATAAAGTCATCCTCAGCTACACAGGGAGTTTGACACCTTCCAAAAAAAAAAAAAAAAAAAAAAAAAAGCAACCACCAACCAAACCACACAACTGCTATGCTAAACTTTTAGTGGAACTCTATGAAATGGTTAATGCTGTAAAAGATCCCACCCTTGAAAATATCATGAGAAGGAAACTGATCAAACAAAGGTTATTTTTGTGCAGTGGAAATTTAACTCCGCTCTTTGAAATAACCATGTTTTAGGTGTGAGTTTAGAAAGAAACAAAACACATTAGAAGTTATCTATTTCCTAAGTTAACCTGTGACCATTATACAGAATGAAGTCAGAGAGAACACAGGCTGTGTGTGTGTCCATGTCAGAGCTTCCCGCCATTTTCATGAGTGGAAAATTTGAAGAACCAGATCACTTTATGAGTCTGTGTTACACAAGTCTATCCCAGAGAAAAGCAAAAGGGGAAACCCCAGTGCACCTTATGTTTGGCTTGGTCCGCAGCCATTCCTCTTTTCTCCATTGTGTAGTTCTGGAGGAGCCGAGCTGGGGAAGAAAGAAGGAATCGTGAGGTCTTTAAGCCTTTTAATAAAAGGTCACCCTGGAATACCTGTCACCCAGGGAGAAGAAGTCTAGGTTGTCATGAGCATTTTCTAGAGTCAGAGAAGGAATGAAGTCTATGGTGTCTCAGGACAGAAAACTGGAGTCACTTGGGCAGTCAGAGGCATCCCACACTTGAAACCCGCGGCTGCAGTCACTCACCCACCATAGGTTTCCTCATACCCACAACTTACCCAAACAACAGCTCAAGATCAAATAGCCACAGTCACACATCTACCCTGAGGACACAACCACACCCACCGCTCACAGAACCCTCAAATACAACACCACATAAAACCCCAGGGCTACAAACGGTCACAACAGCACACCCACTGCGGAGCCACACAACAGTCACGATAACCTCCAATCCCCCCTCATGGGAATTACACAAAATCCAACATTCAACAGAACACAACGGCCTCTAAGACACACATATGTGTCAGCCTGACGACTGCACTCATCTCCCAACCACACTTCGTCGTACAAAGTTACATAATCACACTCAAACATCTGCACAGAGTCAGTCGCAAGCACCCAGAACACACAGTGTGCCTGCAGACACGAGGTAACAGTCATGCAGGCATACTCACTTAGTTCCCTCAGATGTCCCTCATGAAGAAGTTACGCCGTTTACACGCCGCCGGTGCAAACACGCGGGGACGCAATCACGCCAATCACACCCGCACACACTAGTCAGGAGAAGGTGCTCCCTTGCACACAAAGCCCCGCTCACAGGGAAATCCAGAAATCAGACCCGCGCACTCGTGGCGCCCTAGGGTCACTTCAGGTCACACTCGCTCCTGCTCACCCAGCCAGACCAACTCCCACAGGCTTG